GGGGGGTTGGCGCACCTGTGGTTGGTAGACGACGCTGCGGTCGGCCGGGCTGATCTCCAGCGTGAGGTTGCGCAGGTGTCGCTGGATGGGGTCCACCATCACCCACAGCGTCACGATCAGTCCATCGATCAGCAGCAGCGCGCAGATGAGCGAGATGAGCTGCGTGTCCCGCAGCAGCTGCGCACCACGCGGCTCAAGCGAGCGCCTGCAGGGCGACGCCTGCAGGGGGACGCCTGCAGGCGCCGCAGGAATGGGGCTCACGTACGGGGCTGGGTGAAAGGCTGACTTCGCGACATTGTCAGTGGAACGTGTAAGACAAGCATCGTCTAACTAAAAGTTATGCATTCTTTATAGACTCCAATGAATTTATGATTTTATATTATTTGAAATTATAGATTGTAGCACCGATAAAACAGTTTCATTTTTTCCATCAGGGTCCTTTCAAATGTTTCTAAAGGATAAGAACAACCTCATTTCTACTTTCTGAGGCATCTTCTTCTCGTTCAATTTCTTTATATTTGAAAGGGATAAAACCGAAGACAGTAGTTTTGGACGTTTCAAAGAAGACTAATAATTCTTTTAATGTAAATCTTTAAAAATATTTTTGACGAACCATTGATACACACTTTCCGTATCTATTTCTAAATCACGCAGAAATTGAGACAAAACTATACAGTCTCTGACCACGTGAAATGTGTCTACGGCTTCGTTAGGAACTCGAGAAAAAGATGAAAATATATTTCTAAACTGAAAACTCAAATATGCTTGCACTGCGCGCACCGACTAATTAAACATTTTCACTGCATCACTGCTTACAACAGATCTGACATTGTGCGACACTCTAGTTCGGAGGAGGCCAACTGCCTTTAAATATTTGCTATTAACGTGCTATGGAACAGCAACTTTCTTGGTGCACTTAATACTTAAAGAAGTGTTGTTCCTCTACGTTATTGTAGTGGAGACTTTTTTGTTAAAATTTGTCATATTTAATTTACAGCAGAGTTATTCGTTAGCATTTTATTTGTTGTTCCTGAGCAGTGTGCGAGCCATTTTCTAGAAAACCATGTTATGTAGATTTGTTCAGCACAATTTTTGCCGTTTTATTATAGTTAGCTTCCCTCCGTAAATTAGCAGCATAGTCCGAACAATGGACGGAAAGAAATATCAACAATTTACTGCCATACGTAAAAGTATTGAATGAATTTTATCACCCTTAAGCTGCGTTTCTGTAGTTTACAAAGGAATGAGATTTTGCAAAAGATGTTACGTAGAACATGACAGTTCACAGTGCATTAGAGTGGCTCTCTGGGGTCATTGTTCGTATTTCCGCCATAAAAGTCATCAAACCCCAGGGAGAGAAACTGTGGATACAGGAGAAAGTTCCACCTCACTTTTACGAGCGTTCACCAGGCCCTCGGGTAGAGTTCAAAGTTGTGTCAGAGTTGAATTACCTCTTTCTAGGAACGAAATATCTGTACTATGTAGCTGTTAGAGTTTTAGGACGGCATTAACATTCGTCGAAATCCGTGACATTATTCATAAGAAAATACCGCAACAAATTCATATTTTCTGAAGGTAAATTTTAGAATGAAGGAAAATTACAATTATACTCTCACAGTTTTCATACACTTTGCAAAGTGGAGCAGGCTTCAGTACAAAGCAGAGAAGAAAAATGATTCGGAGAGCATTACGATTTTGCCGAATATTAATTAGTAAATTCAAAAAGGATTGAAAAAGCTGAACCAGATGCGTTTTTTCGCCAGACTACATTAATTTTGAAATTTGCGTTGAACGTAGTGCTTCCTAGCTTTGTATAATGTAGTGGAAATTTTTTCATTAATTTTCTGACTATTGTGAAAGTTTAAATTATCAGCACAATACACTTCAAAATGCGAGAAATTTGTAGAGACAGAGGAACATTTATGGAGGTAAAAAGTTCTGAAAAGGATCTAGAATCATTAAAGGTCACCAGAAGTTTGAAGCCAATTGTGTTATCAACAAGTCCCTCCAAAGGTGTCTATTCTAACTAAACAGGAGGTTAAGTATGCCTAGTATTCAATTTAGTGCAACTATGAAAAAAATAAACATCAACCTACTACATTATCTTTTATAAAAACTCTCTACTAGATATCTTTTTTCTCATAACATTAACGCATATCATCGCTATCTACGTTTAATTGTTTCCATTATCAGAATTTTCGAAAAAAAGCCAACTTATAAACTTCAGTCTTTCTGCCAACACCGCAGGTGAGGCAACATGGCGCCGCCGCGCATCCTCACCTTGTCCTTGACGATGCCGCTGCGCGACCGGGTGAAGATACGGTGCACGCGGTAGGTCTTGGTG